ATGTGACGTCAGCCTAACAACAAGGTTGCTGGGGTCATCGAGTGTGCATAAGCTCCTCTCAGTGATCTATCAACTCCATCGCAATGTCGTTGAATAAGCCAAGGGATGTTGAGAGCTTTCAATATTTGTTCCTGAAACGTGTTCCGAGAGTACATAAGCACACGTTTTGGTATTACACAATGTGTAATACAGCTGTATGTTTATTAAACGGGGGATCTCTTCACGGGCAAGTAATAAATGAGTATATCACAACAGGTGACGTGCATATGACGTCTCAAGGAACGTGGGGGTCGAAATGTCACGGTACACAGTAATAAGCACAGATTTTACAATCCTGTGCAATGTCACGCCGACAGGCCTATCAGGGGACATTGTAAATAAAATAAAACTGTTTATTAAATGACAGGTTTTAGTTTGGATACAATAGGTCCCTTGGTACACTCCAGCATACTTGATATACTCCAGCATACTTGCTATACTACTGTGTAGCGTAACAACAAATCTTTTCGGAATATGTTAACATTACAATCATTTCCCGCGTCTTTACATATGTACATCACACATGTAGCTAACAAAGATAAATAATTCATAACTCATAACTTTTCTTCACTGACACCATACAAAACAATATTCCGATAAGGAGGAGAATTTATGGATGTCAACTTCTATATTATGAGGAACATAACGTTTCCGAGTATATACTTACTCCTTCATCAGGTGAATGAATACCACTTTACCAATCACTGGTTTCCAATTGTCAATCATAATCATCTTTCAGCGCTAATTGCAGTAAAGTGTCGGTTTCCATTGTCTATTGCTAATCACCTATCAGCGATATTATCTGTTGTCTTCCCTTGTTAAGTTTCCACCTTTGTTATCTTATTACTTTTGTTGTCCTTACATGTACATATATATATTCTCTGCCTCATGGCATTCATTCACCCGATGAAGGAGTAAGCATATACTCCGAAACGTTGTGTTCCTCATAATAAAGAAGTTGACATCAATATATTCTCTTCCTTATGTGTATCACTTCTAAATGCCATTAAATATATTCCTATTATTATTATTATTATCATCATATGTTTAGTTATGGATATCAACTCTAGAACACCTGGAAAATACAACCAAAAGGGCAAAAAACTTGGCAATGAAACAAAACATATATTGTGGTCTTCCCACCACCACAACATTCTCTCAAATAACTATCAACTGATGTAGTTATTACACGTAATAATTGAATAATTGAACGTATTATCTTAAACTGGAGTTGTTTGTATTTTTTCCTGAAGATGCTTTGAAAAGAACGGATAATAAGTAATGAGAGTAAAGCAGGTATTTTCAAGTGTATACCTTTTATTTAGCAGGGCAGTTTCTGCTGTTTTATTCTATATGTGTGCTGTAGGTCGGTGAGGTTCAACTATAGGCACGTATAACACAACTGACGTGTAATATTTCACTTCTATAGGTATGTATGGCACAACTGACGTTTAATATCTCACATCTATAGATACGTATAGCACGACTGACGTATAATATCTCACATCTATAGGTATGTATGGCACAACTGACGTTTAATATCTCACATCTATAGATACGTATAGCACGACTGACGTATAATATCTCACATCTATAGATATGTATAGCACGACTGACGTATAATATCTCACATCTATAGGTATGTAGAGCACAACTGACGTAAAATATCTCACATCTATAGGTATGTATGGCACAACTGACGTTTAATATCTCACATCTATAGATACGTATAGCACGACTGACGTATAATATCTCACATCTATAGATATGTATAGCACGACTGACGTATAATATCTCACATCTATAGGTATGTATAGCACGACTGACGTAAAATATCTCACATCTATAGGTATGTATGGCACAACTGACGTTTAATATCTCACATCTATAGATACGTATAGCACGACTGACGTATAATATCTCACATCTATAGGTATGTATGGCACAACTGACGTTTAATATCTCACATCTATAGATACGTATAGCACGACTGACGTATAATATCTCACATCTATAGATATGTATAGCACGACTGACGTATAATATCTCACATCTATAGGTATGTATAGCACAACTGACGTATAATATCTCACATCTATAGGTATGTATAGCACGACTGACGTATAATATCTCACATCTATAGGTACGTATAACACGACTGACGTATAATATCTCACATCTATAGGTTCGTATAGCACGACTGACGTATAATATCTCACATCTATAGGTTCGTATAGCACGACTGACGTATAATATCTCACTTCTATAGGTATGTATGGCACAACTGACGTCTACTATCTCACATCTATAGGTATGTATAACACGACTGACGTATAATATCTCACTTCTATAGGTATGTATAGCACAACTGACGTATAATATCTCACATCTATAAGTACGTATATCACGACTGACGTATAATATCTCACATCTATAAGTACGTATAGCACAACTGACGTATATCTCACATCTATAGGTACGTATAGCACAACTGACGTATAATATCTCACATCTTTAGGTGTGTATAGCACAACTGATGTATAATATCTCACATCTATAGGTACGTATAGCACAACTGACGTATATCTCACATCTATAGGTGTGTATAGCACAACTGACGTATAATATCTCACATCTATAGGTGTGTATAGCACAACTGACGTATAATATCTCACATCTATACGTGTGTGTAGCACAACTGACGTATAATATCTCACATCTATAGGTGTGTATAGCACAACTGACGTATAATATCTCACATCTATAGGTACGTATAGCACAACTGACGTATAATATATCACATCTTTAGGTGTGTATAGCACAACTGACGTATAATATCTCATATCTATAGGTACGTATAGCAAAACTGACGTATAATATCTCACATCTATAGGTTATATAGCAAAACTGACGTATAATATCTCACATCTATGGGTACGTATAGCACAACTGACGTATAATATCTCACATCTATAGGTACGTATAGCACGACTGACGTATAATATCTCACATCTATAGGTACGTATAGCAAAACTGACGTATAATATCTCACATCTATAGGTTATATAGCAAAACTGACGTATAATATCTCACATCTATGGGTACGTATAGCACAACTGACGTATAATATCTCACATCTATAGGTACGTATAGCACAACTGACGTATAATATCTCACATCTATAGGTACGTATAGCACAACTGACGTATAATATCTCACATCTATAGGTACGTATAGCACAACTGACGTATAATATCTCACATCTATAGGTACGTATAGCACAACTGACGTATAATATCTCACAGTTATAGGTACGTATAGCACAACTGACGTATAATATCACCCATCTATAGGTACGTATAGCAAAACTGACGTATAATATCTCACATCTATAGGTTATATAGCAAAACTGACGTATAATATCTCACATCTATAGGTACGTATAGCACAACTGACGTATAATATCTCACATCTATAGGTACGTATGGCACAACTGACTAATAATATCTCACACCTATAGGTACGTATAGCACAACTGACGTATAATATCTCACAGTTATAGGTACGTATAGCACAACTGACGTATAATATCTCACATCTATAGATACGTATAGCGCGACTGACGTATAATACCACAACTGACGTATAATATCTCACATCTGTAGGTATGCAGAGCACAACTGACGTATAACATCTCACATCTATAGGTATGTATAGCACAACTAACGTATAATATCTTATATCTATAGGTATGTATAGCACGACTGACGTATAATATCTCACATCTATAGGTATATATAGCACAACTGACGTATAATATATCACATCTATAGGTATGTATAGCACGACTGACGTATAATATCTCACATCTATAGGTACGTATAGCACAACTTACGTATAATATCTCACATCTATAGGTATGTATAGCACAACTGACGTATAATATCTCACATCTAAAGGCATGTACAGCACAACTGACGTATAATATCTCACATCTATAGGTACGTATAGCACAACTGACGTATAATATCTCACATCTAGGCATCGCTTTCACCGCGGCACCAACATAATTTAAATTATTTCTCGTAACGATGACAACGAGTCCTGATTCCCGAGATCAAACTTTCTTCATTAATATGTTTGCCGAGAGGCCTATAAACCACGTCCTTGACAAATATCATGTGTCACGTTCCTTAAGCATTTGTGGTGAAATATAATCATACAATCAAAGAAAAGCACATGTGTGTTCAAATTCATGTTATTAGTCAAACGAGCGCATCACCTAGGAGCGTTAGAACGACCGCTGCGCGCCGCCAGTTTATTGTTTGTTGTAAAAATAGACATTGACTCACAGACACCGGGTTATTATCACTTACCGGGAAGGGGTAGTGGGGGTTGGAAATTTGAGGGGGGAGGGGGGGGGGGCACTGTGATGCAATACTGCAGTACTGTTGTTTATGACTTTAGGGGTACCTAAACAATTGACCTGCGGAACATGGTAAAGACTCCACGTGAGTGGACGTGTCTCCGCTCAGCCGCGTACGTTGTTGGTATAAGTATGTAGGATCACATTACAAACCAAACCGAATTTGAATACCAAGCCAACATATTTGCCTCGTTTCTTGTACAAAGTGACATGGATAGACCCATTGGAGGACGAAATCAACCACATATAATATCACATATCCCATGAGAAAAAGATGGTTTGTAAGATTAGACAGTGGCGCTGTGTATGACTCTATATCGCCATTATGCGACATTAACTCATAAATGAAACATTTTGTAACGTTATAAATAGACCAACTGAGATTCCTGGAAGTTATGGAATAAAAAGGCTTTTTTCCAGAAGGAAATACTATATGTATTAATAACGAACGGTAAATTAAATCATCAAGGTACACATGTTTTCAATGAATGTATTTAACGAATTTAACTCTCATATCAAATCTGAGCGGACTCACCTAACACAAGTACTGTCCTTCCTTCCATCGCTCTGTGCTCTACCCCCGGGCGATGTCACGTGACGAGCAGTTTCGTGGAGTCAGTGCCCCACCCAGCACAGCGGTAATATGCGTGTTGGCGAGACCCTCGGATTACACAGAGCTGTGCGCCAGGCGGATTGACGGGTCGCGTTACAAGGCCATGTATTCGAGCACTGTCAACACAGAGCAGTGTGATATACGGGTAGAGCCCCGGGTGGAGTTACCCGAACATCTCAAATCGTCCTTATTCAAGGGTACACTCCTTGACCCATTTCAGATAGTTTGTGCAATTACATTGACCAAAAATAGGTGAGGTGAAATGAGGTTTATTGTCGCGTCGAAGATTATTGCACTTATATAGCGACATGCATGTACGTGTGTGTGTGTGTGTGTGTGTGTGTGTGTGTGTGTGTGTGTGTGTGTGTGTGTGTTTTTTTTTTTGCTTGTACTAGCCTACAAAAGCAAGTTTAGCCAGCTCAAGCTAGCTCTATCAGCATAGAGTCAAGAAGGATATTGTGTAATATAAGATTTCAGAGACTAAATGTTAGTCTCTATGAGTCGAAGTGAGGTGACATGGGGTTTGACGTCTCGTTCCAGATGATTGTACTTTCAGAGCGACATGCATCCTCGAGTGTGTGGCTGCTTGTACTTGACCGGACTGATGTCGATTTATAGTGCTAGCTCACTGAGGTTCTTTGCCACAGTTTAACATGAATACCCCACTCACAGTATACTGACTCCGAGCCGACCAGTCCTTGTTTTAGCCCCTCAATGCCGAGCGCCAGACAGGGTAACAACAAGTATCATCTTTTAACGTCTTTTGGTATGACACGGCCGGGAATCGAACCCGGCGGACGCCCATCCAATACACAAAGTAGAAAACATACTTCATAGAACTACACTGTCATTTATGAAAAAAAAGAAATTGGTAGTAGCATAGGTCTTCAGCAACCCATTCTTGCCGTAAAAGGTGACCATGTTTGTCGTAAGACGCGACTAACGGGATCGGGTGGTCATGCTTGCTGACTTGGTTGATGCATGTCATCGTATCTCAATTGCAGGGATCGAAGTTCATGATATCAATCACTGGAGTGGCTGGTCCAGACTCGATTATTGACAGACCGCCGCCATATGGCTTGAGTATTGCTGAGAGCGGCGTTAAACAACAAACAAACAAACAAATATAAAAAAAATATGAAGAAGAAGCGTGTATTCACTTTTGATAGGAAAACTCAAATATGTCATTCAATTAAAACATACAGTTGACATATGAGAATCAGTTTTTTTGTATAAAAGAAAAACACAAAATATCCCTATCAAAATTAAAGTGGTATAAATCAACACTTTAAGGTTTTCAACGTAAACACAAATAAGGGCCACCCTATCCACAATAAATTTGACTGTGTTGATCGTGAGGATGCACGCGCATTTCGAAACAAATGTTTCGATGGAACAGTCCATATCATGAAAGGGGGGTTGGTATGTTTAGTGTCAATGAAAAATGGTAAACCGAAAGAACCAAATGATGACGTCACAAGACCTGTTTAGAACAAAAGCTGAAGCGGGTTTGTGCTTCTATTGATGTCTCACCTGTTTTTCCTGAACCCTTCTAGATATACACACTGTTGCCGATTCCCGTCAATGTCGATGTCATTACAGACGGCAAGGACCATCAGATGGCCTTACAGGCTGCGTGGGAACCGCTCAGCCATTGTTCTATGCCCGAGATGAAAAACGAGGACACGTTCCGGATGAGACCTATTATTACAACGTCCTTGGAAATCGTCCTCCTCAAGGTTCAAAGTTTCTGAAACGGCGTAAAACAATAATCACTCATTCACTGACCATGGTTCCTTGATAACCAAGGTTATCGTGACCTTCAAATGTTGTAAGAGACAGATGTAGCAATGGCAGCGCACACTGTCGTCGGCTGTTGCTTACCTTCGACAACCTACATTAGTAGTCATGTGCAGCGAGTGTGTGGACATCGTTTTAGCAAACACGGCCTGGGGCTTTCAATGTAAATACTCCGTCTGTAGCCCGGTAGTTAACTGTGCCAGTCTGCCAACAGGTTCAGTATCAAATATCATGCAGCGACTGTGCTTATTGTCAAAACAGTGGACACCAAATCAAGAATGTCACATTCCTGTACAGTGTAGACGCCACCTTCACAGTGTCATATTCCTGTACAGTGTAGACGCCGCCATCACAGTGTCATATTCCTATAGTGTAGACACCCCCTTCACAGTGTCATATTCCTGTACAGTGTAGACACTGCCATCACAGTGTCATATTCCTGTTAGTGTAGACACTGCCATCACAGTGTCATATTCCTGTACAGTGTAGGCGCCACCTTCACAGCGTCATATTCCTGTACAGTGTAGACGCCACCTTCACAGTGTCATATTCCTGTACAGTGTAGACGCCACCTTCACTGTGTCATATTCCTGTACAGTGTAGACACCGCCATCACAGTGTCATATTCCTATACAGTGTAGACACCGCCATCACAGTGTTATATTCCTGTACAGTGTAGACGCCACCTTCACAGTGTCATATTCCTGTCAATGTAGACACCACCTTCACAGTGTCATATTCCTGTACAGTGTAGACACTGCCATCACAGTGTCATATTCTTGTACAGTGTAGACGCCACCTTCACAGTGTCATATTCCTGTACAGTGTAGACGCCCCCTTCACAGTGTTATATTCCTGTACAGTGTAGACACCGCCATCACAGCGTCATATTCCTGTTAGTGTAGACGCCCCCTTCACAGCGTCATATTCCTGTACAGTGTAGACACTGCCATCACAGTGTCATATTCCTATAGTGTAGACGCCCCCTTTACAGTGTCATATTCCTGTACAGTGTAGACACTGCCATCACAGTGTCATATTCCTATAGTGTAGACGCCCCCTTTACAGTGTCATATTCCTGTACAGTGTAGACACTGCCATCACAGTGTCATATTCCTATAGTGTAGACGCCCCCTTTACAGTGTCATATTCCTGTACTGTGTAGACACCACCTTCACAGTGTCATATTCCTATACAGTGTAGACGCCCCCTTCACAGTGTCACATTCCTGTACAGTGTAGACGCCACCATCACAGTGTCATATTCCTGTACAGTGTAGACACCGCCATCACAGTGTCATATTCCTGTACAGTGTAGACACCGCCATCACAGTGTCATATTCCTGTACTGTGTAGACACCCCCTTCACAGTGTTATATTCCTGTACAGTGTAGACACCACCTTCACAGTGTCATATTCCTGTACAGTGTAGACGCCCCCTTCACAGCGTCATATTCCTGTTAGTGTAGACACTGCCATCACAGTGTCATATTCCTGTACAGTGTAGGCGCCACCTTCACAGTGTCATATTCCTATACAGTGTAGACGCCCCCTTCACAGTGTCACATTCCTGTACAGTGTAGACGCCACCATCACAGTGTCATATTCCTGTACAGTGTAGACACCGCCATCACAGTGTCATATTCCTGTACAGTGTAGACACCGCCATCACAGTGTCATATTCCTGTACTGTGTAGACACCCCCTTCACAGTGTTATATTCCTGTACAGTGTAGACACCACCTTCACAGTGTCATATTCCTGTACAGTGTAGACGCCCCCTTCACAGTGTCATATTCCTATACAGTGTAGACACTGCCTTCACAGTGTCATATTCCTGTTAGTGTAGACGCCCCCCTTCACAGTGTCATATTCCTGTCAATGTAAACACCACCTTCACAGTGTCACATTCCTGTGCAGTGTAGACGCCCCCATCACAGTGTCATATTCCTGTACAGTGTAGACGCCCCTTTCACAGTGTCACATTCCTATACAGTATAAACATAACATTTACAGTGTCATATTCCTTCACGATGTAAACAAGGTGGAATCCATTATTATTTCCACCTGCTGCCTTGCTGGTCAATGGATAATGCTAAAAGCGGCGTAAAGTCATATTCTCTCACTCAGTGATGTGAGCAGCAAGCATGTCCTTGAGACAGTACAGCGACGGAAACACACATACGAACCACACATATATGAATACATTTTCTATCATTTTTGTTCATTTATATTTTCTATTATTTATATTCTATGGTGTCACCTGCCCCACTATAACGCACACTGTGTAATAACGAGGGTTATACAACGTATCCCTGGTGGCGACCACCGATGATCGGGTCAGTAGGCCTGGGTTTGTCCTGCAGGTAAAGAGCGAGTGACGTCAACATGACTTGTAATGTCGTCATGTCTCAAGGCGATTCTCATTTCCAACACTGGAAGCTGCACCGTGATTTCACACACGCATACGGTGGTTATACGATGTTTGAACGTGTATTGATGTATATGAAGGTCCAAGATATGCTTGAGAGATGAAAATGGAAATACTTTATTAAATATTAATACTGTAGTTAATCAATTTTTCTGTTTACTCTGTTCCCAGCGCTGATTAACGTAATTATTTTGATCCACAAGGAAGCCTTTGTAAACGTGAAGTGATTGGTGGGAATCTTTCGCATCTGGGACTTGCCATTTCGTCCAGTAATTCAAAAAGATCAATGTTGTTGCTAGGAGTGTGCGTGTACTGTTCAAGCTGTCACAATCAATACTGTGTCAATAGTTGTAGTAGTAGGTTCGAGGGCAGTATACTGTGTCTGAGTGGGGTATTCATGTTAAACTGCGGCATGGTATCTCAGTGAGCTAGCACTACAAACCGGTGTCAGTCCGGATTAGAACAAGCAGCCACACACACAGACACACACACGCATGCACACACAAATTTTCAAATTTTAATCTTAGTTTCTGTGGTCACTATACCTCTCTTTGTGACCTATCCATAAAGCTTCTTTGATGTAGTGTAAAGGGCTTGGGAAAGGGCGACCACACGCACCATGAACGTCACCTTTCGTTATGTCACGGAGAGTAAGTTTGTTGTGGGAAGAAATCCCGAAGTAAAGCAGCACACACACACACACACACACACACACACACACACACACACACACACACACACACACACACAAACAAACACACACACACACACACACAAACACACACACACACACAAACACACACACACACACACAAACACACACACACACACAAACACACACACACACAGAGTCTTTATTTCTCCATAAAGGCCACCACAAGAGCAAATAACAAAATAGAACATTGTTATTAATTTGAATAATATAAGAATGGCTAAAATAATTTGTGAGTTTGTAATTTATTGAATATTTTGCTGATAAATTTTGACAAACATTTTATGTCTTTAAAATTAAAAGTACAAATTAGTCGTTTAAATATAAATATGTTTGGGAATTTAAAATATGTTTTTGGTATATACAAAAATCTTTAATCATGAAATGCTTCACAGCGAAAAATATAATGAAACAAGTTTAAGAAACTTTTAGCAGACCCGTTCTATTGCATGTGTATCGAGATGTTCGTAATTCCATATATAAGTGCAATGATCTTCAGGGCGACGATAAGCCCCATTTCACATAACCCGGTGTTAGTTTGGACACGTCAAGAAATCTAAAAGTAAGTGTTTGTTTAGACGAAATATTCTACACAATATGTCACAATCGGACTTAAGATTTATGTACGGTTCAAACAGAAATCCTATTCTAGCAAGAGTTACCTCCCTTCGTATAACAGCGGAGACACATTTACGTGTACAACATTTATAAGTGAGTGAGTGAGTGAGTATGGTTTTACGCCGCTTTTAGCACTATTCCAGCAATATCACGGCGGGGGACACCAGAAATGGGCTTCACACATTGTACCCATGTCGGGAATCGAACCCGGGTCTTCGGCGTGACGAGCGAACGCTTTAACCACTAGGCTACCCGACCGCCCCTTATAAGTGAGTGAGTTGGGTTTAACGCCGCTTTTAACAGCATTCCAGTTACATCACGGCGTGTCAGCTTAATGTGTAAGGAAAACCCGAAGTCGTTTATACCACGAGCACGGGTATGGTGCTGACAAACCTAGAAACATAATCGGGGCGAACCGGAATTCGAACCCACAATCATAGGTTTCTGGCTCGCCCAAGGGACGCAACTCTGCACAGCGAATGGCGGCGCCTTAGACGACTTGGCCACCAGTGCCCCTACAACACTAAGTCTTTGAAAGGCATTTAGAAGTGATACACATAAGAAAAAGAGAATTTATGGATGTCAACTTCTTTATCATGACGAAACACAACGTTTCGGAGTGTATACTCACTGCCTTCATCAGGTGAAGGAGTAAGCATATACTCCGAAACGTTGTGTTCCTCACTGTGTTCAAGGGACGGAACTCTGCACAGCGAATCGCGGCGCCTTAGACGACTGGGCCACCCGTGCCCCCAACTCCAGTTAAGACATATCTGACAAGTGGGAGTTGTTTATAGTACATTATAAACCTCCAATGACGTTTTCTTTATATTCCCTAGCATCGAACACGCAACATTCGTATCTGTAGTCCAGTGGGTGTACCACTAAAGTACTCATGGAAAGGAAAAAAAACCTGTTTTGCTGGATTTAATAATCGACACAAAGCATTACGTAGATGTAAATACGAAATAACAAAAACAACTGGAAAAGTACTAGTCTGGATTTGCTAGTTGTATCTCAGTGCTCAATACAAAATGTACTTTACAGGAGGTAATTTGTAGGCACTTTCAACATTCAAAAATAAAACTAAGTCCAAATTGATATGGCAGAAACAGGCTATAAGCATTATGCAAATTAGCCTGGAAAAATGTTATCAAAACAACAACTAAAATGTTGTTGACATGTAAGTTGTTATTTGAGAAGGGAATATGTTACTTTTACGTTCTGATATTTTGACGATGATTCACTATCCCACAATGCAACTCACAAATCACTAACCACTGACAAATCACATGCACGTGGGTTTCAAGCACCTGTGTTCACCTGTCGTCAAGGTGTCATAGGTCATGGACATTCACCTTGATCTACTAACACCTGGTTATGCTCAGTTTCACAATAGTCTGTTTTGTTCATATTTGTACACACCT